GATAAATTCTTGAGAAATTTACCCCATCTACACTGAAATGGTACCAGGACTTGCCATGAACTCCATCTTATGCTCAGGGTGCAGGGTTCGAGTCCTGGGGAGGGCAAAAACAACATAAAGTCCAGTTTTCACCCTAGGACTAGGGCTGTAAACGAGCCGAGCTCGAGCTCGAGCCCTTAACAGGCCTAAAATTGTGCCCGAGCTCGGCTTGTTAAGGCCTCGAGCTCGAGCTAATCTCGAGCTTTAACGAACCGAACTATAAAAATTATATAAAAATTCTATTTTCGAGCTTTAGCGAGCCGAGCCGAGCTCGGCTCGTTAGCCAAACGAGCTTTTAATGAGCTGGAGCTCGGCACGTTAAGACCTCGAACTCGAGCCGAGCTCGAGCCGAGCCGAGCCGAGCCAGACTTGTTTAATTTAACAGCACTACCTAGGACTGAAGCACTGTGGAAGTCCATGAGTCCCCGGTGCATGGTCATGGCCCACCTGGGGCCCCACACCCCCACAGAGAGGAAGGCTGACGGTCCGGCCATCAACACCTGGGATAGAGACAAAAAGGTTCTTCTTGATAATCACAAATTGATTAAGTTCGTGTATCGCATTATCTCATCTTGATAATCACAAATTGATTAAGTTCGTGTATCGCATTATATCATAAACTAAAAAAAGTGAAAAACTTCCGCAACAAAAATTAGGATAAAGTAAGAAAAACTAGTTCTTAATTTTACCCAGGGCTGGCCCTGGGGCAGGGCCAGCTGGGCAACCTCCCAGGGCCCAAAAATTTAGAAGGCACCAAATCATGAGAATTTTTTTTTTTTATTTTTGTGGCCCCGAATCATTAACTTATATGGCCGCTGAATTATGAAGGCCCACATCATGAGTCTTGAAATAAATAGGCGAAATTTTATCTATACTTAACGAAATAAAATTATTGTAAAAATACCATGGTGTGATCTTGTATTGCATCCCTACAAAATCGCGTGGAAAAAATTGCCAATATGCTAAGATGCAGTTACCAATTATGAAAAGTTATAACGTATCCTTGATTATGGGGGACCGATTTTCATGACAAAAGAAAAGAATTAAAAACACGCATGGAAAGTATATCAATCCTAATATTAAGGAGGTTGTTCAGTAGAAATAGGAAAGCTAATGATATTGATATTTCAAGCGACATTAGCGATGACTCTTTAAAAATCTCAACATCTTGAAAAATATATTTCGAGAAATCAGGTAATTTTTTTGTTCTTGTCGATCAATTTTTTGTTATTGTCGATAGAGTTTTTGTTTATTTTTATAATGGCATCGTGTTAAACCGTATATAACACGTATATGTTTTTATTAGACTGTCTTTTTGTAGATGGATATGCCATTGAAGATCTTTGTACATTACAATGATGATGGGTCATGAATGAGTACATAAACTTTCAAGTTTCAGGTGTACTAGTTTGTAGAAATTGCAGATACATCATACTATGTGATGTATTGAAGGAAAAGCTCGGAATCACGTGTCAATCCTCTTTTCTTGAGTTGAAGTACAAACTGAAGGACGGATACACACTAATGTGCATAGATGATGACATGAGTCTTGCATTTTACATAGACTTGAAAATGAGTGAATCGGATTACACGAAGTTCCCGATTTGCGTCGTCGTGAATTCTCCATTTAATGGACAAGACATGTTAGAGAGACCGCAAAGGGTGGATGATGTAAGTGATGAAACAATTGTATCACCTTTGGGACATACGGATCTCGACAAATATACAAAGACCAGAGATGAATCACTCAACTTCATGTCTTTCGCTCGTGGAGTAGCAGCATATATGGTAGAGTCGATGATATATACACAAAATATACAATCTATATACCCAGACAGCGGCCGGAGCTTACCTATCGAGCCAAATAGTGATTCTGATATTGTTGTTGGTCTCTTATTCGAAGATAAACTGCTGTTGCAGATAATGTTGATGATTCATGCTATAAAGAACCAATACCAATTCAGAGTTGAGAAATCATGCACAAAACAATATTACGTGAAATGTGTATCTGGTGCGTGTACGTGGTTTGTGAGGGCATCCCGTATCGGTCAATCAAGCACGTTTAAGGTCAGAGCCGTTGGGATTGAACAAAGATGCGGATTAGATGTCCGTATGGGTGGACAGAGGCAGACGACAT